GGCCCAGGTTGGCCGGTCATTGCCACATATGCCCCCCCATGTACAGGTGAAGCTATATGAGAACTAAACGACATGTGAAATTGATCGTCGTGCAACATTCGACTGAAAGATCCCATCCCTTATCCAGTTGATGGAATGTCGTGTGAGGGCACTTGGAAGGGCTCTGTGTTGTAACCGGAAATATATGTAGATTGTTGTTCTGCCCGAGTACTTTGTTGGGTACATATAGGCACCATTTCTACATAGATCTTAGTGGGAACACCCTTCATTGCAACAACGCTCCTCAAGGCTTTCAAATGTTTATTCGTAGAAACAGGTAACACTTGAACCCCATTGCCAGTCTCAAACCTCATTTTAATGTTTAGTTCAACATTCCTTGGGTTTGAACCTATACTACTATGAACCTCGTTCACCGAATCATTGAAAGTCATGTTCGGTTCAAGTGTTAGTGGTTCCATATTTCCTCCACTATACTCGACACGGGGTCCATCGAACAGAATTTCACCTCCCCACCGGCATAACAAAACTACATTTTGTGCAGCCATATTCTACATAAAAACCAAAACACATTACACTTAAAGGCACTAAATCATCCCTAAATTGTCATAATTAAACACCAATGTAGACATACTTTTCAATTTACAACAACTTAGTATCACTAAATCACCATTAATAAATAATAATGTAGGTTATCATAATCACTCAAAAACTAACAATTATCAACCATTATCAACAATTACCAACACTAACAATTCAACATTATCTAAACTATTATCAACACTAACAATTCAACAATTACCAACACTAACAATTCAACAATTACAAACACTAACAATTCAACATTACCAACACTAACAATTCAACATTATCAATACAAACAATTCAACATTATCAAGATTTTAACCACAATTCCATAAAATTAAAAACCAAAACATAAACCCTAGAATTTTAAAAACCAAAGAGAGATTGAGTACATACCAAATTCGGGTTGAAGTGAGGCTAGGTTTTCAGGGCTTCCAGCGGCCGGTCGTCAGAGTGAGACGGCGGTGGAGGTGGCGGCCTGAACGGAGAAGCAGAAGGTTCTTGGAGAGAGAGAGATTAAGTGAGGGAATGGAAGTGTAGGAATGCAGGGAGAAAGAAGCTCGCTGTTATAAAATAAGGAAGAATCTCGCTATTAAAAAAAAAAAAAAAGCTCGCAAGAAACGCTGCCTCATGTTGAACAATAAACGCTGCCTCAGGCAGCGTTTCATTAAGAACAATAAACGCTGTCTCAGGCAGCGTTTTAGGGTCTTTGTTTTTTTTTTAAAACTATAAATTACGAAATTTATTTTAAAAAAAAAGTCAACAGGTAAAACATTGATTTTTTTTTTTCAAAAAAGCAGGGTATAAAACGCTGTATTTTCAAAAAAACAGGGTATAAAACGAGACAGTGTTTTATCCCTGAAACTTAGGTTGGTAAATAGTTTTGCCACGCAACCATTTTGCAAAATACTTTACAAATAGAGCTTAGTTTGGGAAACATCCAAATCTGTAAGGGGTAAGTGATTATAACGTAGCTTATATAGTTATAGTGTGATGTGTCCTCTACTTAGTATGTGTCTTCATGCCCATTAAGTGCAATATAATTGGACACTTTATGTCGTGTGTTAGACACGTACGTCGGCATGGCCATGGTGTAATGTCCAATACATGTGTAGGCACGTGATAAGCCCATCGGTGTAAAAAACCACACAAATTTTTACCTAGACTCTAGTCTAGGATGAAATCCCTGCACCCCCTTACAAACGACGCCGCATCACTATTGTTTTTAATTTCTTTCACCTTCAAACTACAGGACAATCTAACTTGATCTCCATCTTACATCTTTGTTGATCTCTCTGCCATTTCTACTTCTCCGTCGATCACAAAATAACTTTCGGTAGAATTGCTACATTTGCATGCTTTAGATATATTTATGAATTGCAGAGATTATTGTGTATTGATTTGATCAAAAATTGATTGCCGTAACTTACGATCAATTAGTTCAACAAGAAAATAACGAGCTTAATCAAACAGGCAAGCCATATCAAGAAACTAACACAAAAATTATAAAAATAATTTGATCCAATATTTCCTGATTTTTTTTGTGGGATGAAGATCTGGAATTATATATGCTAGTTTACTGTTGTGGTGGAGGCGATGACGACGCAACTAAAGTTGTGGATTACTTATTGTTCCAATTTTTAATTTACTTTGTAGTTGATGCCAAATATGAAAGTAATAGAGAGGGAGAAGAAAAAGATGAAGAATGAAGCTTAGAGGATTGTAGAGTATTAAGAAAGAGAGAGAAAATTATGAAGACTAAAGCTGAAGAAAAGATACCAGAAACACCGTACCGTACTGTATAATGAATTTGTTCATGAATGAAAGACAAACATAAATGAACGTATAATATTTTGTAATTGAACATTTAATTATGGTTTGATAGAACATTTAATTATTTTCATAGATGATTAAAAATTTATAAAAGTTATCTTTTTTGTATTATTAAAGGAGTTTGAGGATAATTATTGAGGTTTATGTGAAAAATAAACATATATTAAAAATTTGTGGAGTATATAAAGTATATAATATTTATACATATGAAAATGAACATCAAATAATATATAAATGAACATTTTTTTTATCATTTTCATGAAAAGCTATAGAAAATCAAATTGTTTTGAAATTCCTTATTAAATATGTAGAAAATATATAAAGATCGAAGATGGAAAAAGTGTGGACATTTATCAGAAATCTAATGATCGTCTATTAATATGCGAATAATGATCATATACTAATATATAAATGAACATTTATCAAAATGAAAATGAACATTCGACAAAAAGAATGTATTGTAGTTCATCAAGTAAACACTATAGGTTGTGCAATATGAGTTTGTTCTCCTGTAGCTATTGATTTCACTATATTGTCAATATATCCATAACTTGATGTACATGTATAAATATGACAATGAACATGCATCCATTTCTAGATGAGCATATTTCAATACAAGAATGAACATTTATTAAAATATCCTGAAATTAAAACAAAAATTAACAAACATCTTGACCGTGCATTTAAATTATGGGATTGAACAATTGCAATACTATATGTATAAACATCTACTAAAAAAATCGAAATCTACATCTATTAATATCCTGGCAATGTATCTACATGAGAATAAGCAAAAGGCTTTGATAAGAACATCAAATTTATTTATAAGTAGTTTAAATATAATAAATATGAACATTAGACGCTATATATATATGATAGGAAAAATAACACATGAAAAACTATTAAAAAAACAATATATACATAAAAATGAACCTAAAAGAGTATAGAAACTAAAGTGATCAACATATTATATAATGAGCATCTACTCACATATAAATGAACTTATATTGGAATGATAATGAACATGGCATAAAATTAATGAGCATTAAAAAATATATGTGGTTAAACATATAAAGCTCTACTCAAATTTTTTAGTATCTTACTGCTTGCATAAAATATACTTTTATCTTAGGTGTGACATACAAATGATACAGGCAGGCTAAGTAGTAAGTACTACATATACTTAATTACCTACTACTCCATACTATACATAAAAAAGAGTACGTATTTGTAACAATCAATACACATTATTTACAAAACGTGAATGAATGTCTATCAAAATTGAAATAATAAACTTATCAAAATAAAAAATGAATATTTATTAATACGAAAACGAACATTTATTAATACGAAAACGAACATAAACCATGTATGTATCAATATCGCAATATATATATATAAAATAAAGTGATCTTGTATCAATATGGAAATGAACATTTATCAATATGAAAATGAACATTAATAAAGTTAAAATAAAAATAAAATAAAAATAAAACTACTTTAAGAAATTTTTTTGATTAGGGAAAGAAAAAGAAAGCAGCTATGCTTATGATAACTGTCAATTAGAAAGACAAAGTAGAATTAGAGACTAAAAAATTTAAGAGGGACAAAAATTGATGGGAAATTCAATCAATGAAATTTTTGTTGATTGAATTTCCATGGAAATTACTAGTAGAAGAACAAATCACACACTTCTAAGTTACATAAATTTTATGTTAATTTTGTTGTATTTTCAATATATATATGTATATGTCTATTTTAATGATAATCATTGGTTTGTATTTGTTCATATGCCTTTTAAATAGTGAACAAATTTTATTATATGTTAATGTGTAGAGTTATAAAGATGTTCAGTTATGTAATGATAAATGATCATTTATGTAGATATATATGTTTTTTAATATAATAATAATATAATTGAACATTATTGATATTATATTTGTTTATTATAATTATTGCAGCCGATAGTAGAAATGCTCAAGATACTCTTATTGTTTCAAGGAATGTTCACGCTGCTTCTAGCTAGTGCTTCAACAAATGTTCAAGCTACTACAAGTGTTTCAAGAACTGTTCAAGCTACTACTAGTGTTAGTTCTAAGAAGTGTTCGAGGTGGTTTAGGACATACTTCTATTAAGTATGATAAGTTCTTAGTCTTTTTTGATACAAATGTAGCTAAGAGGTTCACTAGTAATGGTAAATGAGGGAGTACATTAGGAAACCATAGCTTTTAAATTACTACTTTCATGAGACTGCATTTTATATTTTTATCATGTAATGGATCTAAGGTTGTGTTTCTATTAAGCAATGTTTTCTTTCAACCTTAATATTGTTAGTGATGTAAATTATTTGCAAATGAACATTTCATAGATACAAAACACCGAGTTGTTAAATATGTTAAAAAAAGAAATACTAGCTATTTAACATACAATATTAAAAAAAGAAATATCAAATTCTATTAAAAAAAATAGAAATACCAAATAAAGACTCTTAAGCGAGTAAAATCTATAAGTTCTATTGAACACATATAAGAACATATATCTTTGTATAAATGAACATATATAAATTTATAAATGAATATGTAATACTACTCTTTTGTAATTTTTCTTGATAATCTTTTGTTGATCCTACATTCAGTGTTTTCTTCAAAAGCATTAGTTGAGTTGTGTATTGCATCCTCAGCTTCCTGATTTGGTCTACCTGTTGATAAAAATGAATATATAATATAATATTAATTGTTATTTAATAATATATAAATGAACGATATATTTTAAGTAAATGATCATTTGATGGACTAACATTGTTTGGGTTTAAGTCACAAATCCATTTTTTATTTTGATCACCAGTGAATGTTTTCATGTGTTTCATAATGTAAACTTCACAATTTGTGTAATCCTCATTGCCACTTTAAATGACACATCACTACAATATAGATTATATCAATTTATATGAAGAAAAAAAAAATGTTCAGTATGTATTTCATATATGTTCATATATGTATCTACAAATGAACATTATTTTTTAATATAAATGGCATATTTTTTTACAGGTAGATGCTCATATATGAATTATAAAATATGAATAGCATATCCATCTCTAAATTCCATCAAATGTTTCACTTAAAATGGTATAAAACTATAATCTAGCTTTGTTTATTATGCATTTAAAAATGTTCATATATGTATGTAAAAATGCTCATAATATTTAAAAATAATGAACATATTAATAAATGTAAATGCACATATATAAACTATTAAAAAAACATTTGAATGTATTACCAAGTTTTGTATGCATGCGTTCATAATGTTTTATACAAATCAATAACACATATTTAAAATAAAAAAAAAAAATCAAATCTGAATATGTTAATAAATACATATTAACATGTAATTATAGGTAAACATGTGAATATTTTCATAATATGATATGAAAATGAACATATAGTGCTTTATAATTGTTCAGTTTACCTAAGCATCCGAGACACTATTTTTACATCTGCAGCCTTAACGCTTGTATATCTTTGAAAGTGTTGGATCTACAATAGGAGATTTTTGTTCGCCGGTTTTTTTGTAGAGGTGTTTCACCATCATCTCAATTTTTACATTATAAACCATTTAATAAATTTTTTTTAATAAATTCTTGTAAATTTAAGAAGTTTGAGTAATATACTTACATTTTTGAAGAATCGTTGTTTCTGTTCTCTGAAATAGATTTCTCCAAACTGAAAAATGAAATTGAAGCAAGTAGATGTTAATTTTACTAATTATTCGAAATAATCACTTTGAAATTGATGAATTATTAACATAAATACTTACATATATACATTTTCAGTTATTAAACTATCAATTTGTTTCCTGAAACACAATCACAAATAAATTCTCAAAAAATTAGTTTTTTTTTTTTTTTTTTTAAAAAAAAATAAAAAATTTATATGAACATTTATACTTACTCTTTTGATTTTCGCTACTTTTTTCGGTGAAATTTGCTTCGGTTGTTTGACTTCGTCTCTAATGTCCGCCATGGTTGAAGTTTTAAAGCTTAGATGAGAGAGATAATGGAAAGGGAAAATAAAGAGAGAACAAGATGTTTTTTTTTTTTTTTTTTGGGTATATATATTTGTGGGGTAGAGGAAGTTACTGAAATTTTTTTAGGATTTTAGGGAGTAATAGTATGCTGCATTTTGTGAGGGTATAGTACTGCAGAAACTATGAAAGTAGGTAGATGGGGGAAGGGGTGTTAAACGATGTGTTTAGAGAGGGGTGTAGGGGATGATGCCTAGACTAGAGTCTAGCCATAAATAATTAAAAAAACCAAGCTGCATCATTTCGGTTGGGCTATATTGTAAATTTTCAATTGACCAAACCGAAATCGTTTGTATTGATAATGGGCTTCGAAAAACCACAATCTTGGGCAAATAAAACATTCCAACCCCAAATCACTTTGCATTGAACCTTATCTTTCTTGTTTCACTCAAAAGTTACTTCCTATTCAAAGATACAGTGAAATATTCATGTCTCTCCTCTAATGGCTCTAATCCTTTACTATTTTACTCTTGACTATCTAAAAATGTAAAAGTGTTATCAAGTACGAGTATAATTTTCTACAAGACTTCGAAATTAATTTTACATTGGAAAAATTGTGACATAGTCCGCAATCAACGCATCATATCCGTTCCTGCAATGAAAATGATTTTCAAACCATTGATTATTTCATTGCAGGAACGGATATGATGCGTTGATTGCGGACCATTGAAAAAAATGTTTATTACTAGTGTGAAACTGCACATAAAGGCAAACAATAAAAATTATTTTTTTTTCATTTTCCTTTAATTGGTATTTTAAATGGTAATAAACATTTTTTTCAATGGTAAAAAAAAAGAACTTTCTTAGGTGCTAAACATTTTCCTTTCGTGGTAAAGTGGTAAGGAATCAAACAATACATATATAGTTCAATTTGTAACTGTAATTCAAATTTGTACTCACTTTAGAGTTATAGAATCTTTAATTTACCCTTAATAATAAAATGGGTCAGTATCTAATGGGTTGCGACCCGACCCACAATCCAATCAAGATATTCCTCAATTAAAGGCCTACACACTTCTCATAAATGCAAACAAGGTATTGAAATGAGATTACATATGTATACAGGTCAAATGCATTATTTACATTTTATATCAGTTAATATTCAACTGTGCTAGTAATGCATACTTTACCAGTATATCACATTACAGTTACAAAATTTACAGGATGTATGAAGGATCAATTATGTACAACTTTTGCTTTCTACAAAACATGTTAATAAGCTCAGTCACTACTGTTATTATTTTACTAGTATGACTGTATAAACCTGTGCTTGCTATAGGCTAACGCGATTCAGAAATGATGGAGTACAAAAAAAAAAGCTCAAGCCGCTTTGCGGGTTAGTGATAGAATGGTAGACACCATAAGCTTGTAATCAATTGGCTTTGTCAAATAAGCATCCATACCCACCTCCAAGCATTTGGCCTCATCAGACGACATTGCATGGGCTGTCAGTGCAACAATTGGAATGTGGACACTTGTTCCTGATTCCAATCTTCGAATCTCTTTCGTTGCTTCATAGCCATCCATCTGTGGCATCTGCATAGTCACAAGACAGTGTATTGTAGGAAATCAGGAACTTATTAACTATTACTGAATACATTGGATAACCAGTATAGTTCAATGAAGTGTATTACCTGACAGTCCATCAGAATTAAGTCAAAAGGAGGGAAGTTCCGGCTTAGAGTTGGAGTTATACTTCCTGCTCCTTCTGGCAAGGGAGATGTTGTGCAGCATCCTTCTGCATTTAGAGAGGATTTGAGAGTGTTTACTGCTTGTAATCCATCTCCGACAGCCATCACTCTAGCTCCTACTTTTTCCAGCATTATTGTAGCCACTCTCTGAAGAACTGGTGTATCTTCTGCAAGGAGGATCTTAATTCCTTCTAGAGATTTCTGTTCACTCGAATTCTTTGCAAAATGCACATCCTTCCTTTCTTCAGAACTACTGCTGATCAAAGTGTTTCTGTTGTCGTCAAAATCTCTCTGACTGTCACGGTTACCTTCAGGAAAGCCATCTTCATCAAACTCAAGCAAATAGTTGTTTGCTGCTGATAATTGTGAGAATGATGGTTTTACACCTCTCTCCCTTTTCGTTGCCTCATTTTGACTTGCACTTCCGGATCTCAAATGTCCAATGTCTCCTTTATCAGAATCCTCAGAGCTAGAGGCATCATAATGAATTGGATCCACCTCGAGACATTCATGCATTTCCCCTTCTGTTGAATCGGAAGCACTTTCACTTTTTAGCTGTACTTCAATATCCCTTTGCTTAATGACAGCTTCCAAAATCTGAATCATTTTTGACTTGTATAAAGGTCTGTTAACCATCAAAAAGTGCCTCTTTCTTCGAAGCTCTTTCTTGATTGAACTAGGTGTATCATGATTTAATATCCATGCAAACTTTGCTTTGTCTGCATATCTATTGAGGCAGTTCAGCTGCTCCTTCCAGATATTGGTACTTAAGTCAAGCAAACCAATATCAACGACTATGATAATCTGTGACCGTTTAACATCCTTAGCAGTGAATAGCTCTATCTGGTTTTGTATGTCAATGAAATTGTCATCAGGTGGACCTTTGTCTTTAAAAATCCTTCTAAGCATCTGTGTTAGTTCATTCCAATCAGATGCTTGTAACGTAGAAACCCCCTTTTCATCTAGCCACTGGGACATAATTAGCCTTCCTGTACTGCCACTTAGTGCAAGTAGTACCTACATTCAGAAAATTTTCAATTTTTCATGGAAATCTACATTCAGCATAATTCCATTTATAAAAGCAAAGCCATCTTAAAAAAGTGTATAGTATGATCAATTATGGCTTTATTATCATTAAAATACTTAACTCTATTAAAAACAACATTAAAGTCTAGGAATACTGACCATCAGGTTATGGTCAGCTAGTTCTACTTGAATATGCTGTTCAGGAATATTTGAGGCAGTGCCAAGAAGCAAGGATATCTGCATCAATGTCCCAGGCCCATTCTTCTCAACTATCTTTATATCTCCTCCCATCTTACGAACCTGTCATATGGTTATAAGTCATCAGGAGGGTGGGTGGGTACAAAAGAATACCGAGGTTGCATTTTTAATCTTTACAGCATCTCATAAAGTAAAACACAGAGATTTGTAAAAGTCACTAATGTTCTCAGAAAGTCATTTTCTTTCTCTTCATGGCTTGGCAAAATTTCGGACAGGGGAGCTGAGGGAAGAGGGACAGGAGCACTCACCAAGGTTCGTACAATGCAAAGGCCCAAACCAGTGCCACCATGCCTAAATAAGAGAACAAAAAAGAAAACCAATGTTCTACATTAGAGACTTGACCAGTTAAAATGGTAACATGAAAATTATGTAGTATCATACAGATAATAAAATGTCAAGAGTCAGTAGGAGGATCAGGTAAAATGCTCACATTCTTGTAGTTGATGGGTCAGCTTGCTCAAAGCTTTCAAATACAGACTCCCATTTATTTGGATTGATCCCTGATCAAAGGAGAGTTAAATAAACGCGGTTAGTAAGATAAAGATGAGTAACATATAGTGAAATTAGAAGTAGAATGATCTAAACTTTCAAGTAGATTATTGGGTACAAACCGCAGCCAGTGTCCTCTACTTCAAACCAAAGTCGCACTTTGTTTTCTTTTCTGTACGGGTTTTTCATGAAAGATCCCAGTTGCTTTGACTTCATCATTGGAGAAGAGCCTTGATTGAAGGAAAGCCTTCCTGTGTTGCTGCAAGTACCGGGTTTTTCGCACCATCCTCTTAAGATTATGTAGCCAGCTGCAAGGGAAAAACAATTGAGTTGTATTACTGTTGCATCTGATCTGTAGAAATATTACCCCTCTGATTAAATGAGATATTAATATCATCATAAAACAAAATTGTACTAACATGTTGTGAACTTGATAGAATTACTGATAAGATTTGCGAATATTTGAACTGCTCGAGCAGAATCTCCTCGAAGCAACTTAGGCATGTCATCTGAAAAGCAATAGGTAAAACAAGGTATCCTTCAGAAAAATCAGGGTGTTCTGAAAGATTATACTGACAGTAAATATAACTGTATATGAAAGTACGCAACACATTTTACTATAATAGCTTATATCACAAAGGGATGATTAACTAGTTGTACATTCATACCTGAGAGATCTAAAAGAGTCTCTACGTGGTGGTTGATACACTGAACTGAAAATATGTCAATAAGTCCTTCAAGTTCTCTGCCCAAATTGAATTCTGCTTCTTCGAGCACCAGTTTCCCAGATTCAACCTGTTTTTACAAAATTACAAATTTTTCAGAATTTGGGCTCAAGCATCATGGATTACATCCTGAACAAACTTTAAAAATATTCTATATTTTCAGAATATCTAGGACAGTTCAGTCTCTGAGATAAACGCTATATATACATAAATAGATTTCAACCATCAGATAGGCAATCTGCTTGAATGTCAGTTACCTTACTGAGGTCCAAAATGTTGTTAAGAAGACGGAGAAGTGCATTTGAACACTTTCGAATCTGAGAAACAGTTGCATGTTGCTCATTTGTGAGACAATCATCAGAAATTAGAATGTCCAGCAACCCAATCACTGCAGCCATAGGGGTTCGCAGCTCATGGCTGTTTACACGCAAAATCAAACTTTTAATTTCCAAAATAAACAATTCAACAACCACAAAGACTCTTACATGTTACAAAATACTATACAATTTAAGTCAAGTAATGGCAGCACATTTGACATAGAAACTTTGCAGTGAAATAAGAAGGCTTCAAATACAAGTACTAATAACTTGCCTCATGTTTGCTAAAAACTGGCTTTTGTAATTGCTTGATGCTTCTGCCCGTCTTCTTGCATCTAGTTGGTTTATCAGTTCTTCTCTTAGTTTCATTTCCTTTGATACTCCATTAGTCAATATCAATATGCAAATACATCCGATTACCAGGATACAGACGGAAGCACATATAAGTATCACCAATGTTTTGTAAGCTCTGTGATCCACCTTCCCCATTATATATTCCCTAGGAATGAGAATTACACCCACCTGCATACAAAATTTTATGTTGTACTTAAATCATATTGAAACAATCAATGGCTCAAAGTCTCAATAGTTACCGAGTTCTTACCATAGGAAGTCGTTTCAAATTTAAGAAAAACGAGTCAATGTAATATTTCTTGCCTCCAAGCTTGATATCCTCTTCATGAACTCCATAGCTTGGAGGAAACTTGTTTGAATACTCCTTTTGTAACCACTGAGCACCTTGCCGTATGATATCATCCTCTGAATCAACAGCCCTTACGAGCTTAGAGCCTTTTGTTGAATTATTCAATAGAGGGGCATTAGTAGAAGTGGCAAGCAAAAAACCCTCTTGAGAGGTAAGGTATATGTGACCACTATGAGCCTCTACAAGCTCTTTCATCAACTGTCCGACACTATACAAAGCAGTCGTAACACCCACAACAGCAACTATACTCTCGTTGGAAGGGTTCCATACAGGCAGTGCAGCAGAAAGCAAAGGTGAACCTGTATGCTTGCTCACTGATACATGCCACGAAGCAACTCCATCAGGTACTTGTGAAGGTCCAGCAACATTTATCAAATCGTCAGGAGGAATTTGCTCTTGCTTTCCTATCTTCTCACCACTGACAGGATCAAGTAGCTCACGGTACCAGATTGCAGAAAGGTTTCCTTGTATTGACTGATCATTCCAAAGCTGATGAGAAGAAACCTTGCTCACTTCATAGGAGGCAGCACTGATTGAATAATTTGCAAGATCAGAATAGATGTATAAAGTTTTGTTGTTTCTATGATCTCTATGGAAAGCCTGGATAAACCCGTTTCTATAATTTATTGTCATTGAATTAAGAGCTTTGTGACTTGCAAATAGTGCCCACATTACATCCTTCATCATTTGATATAACTGCAGATTACAAGTTATTATTTGCAAAATTTAGTAGCAAGATTTGATAAACTCAAACTTTACAAAGAGGAAGACCAAATGAAAGGGAAAAGTTTGACAGTCAACCTCAACTTGATTTTCTTGAACTACTGGCTTGCTGTTGTACTTTTTGAAGATAAGCTCTGAGAGATTAACCTGTGCTGTTGTTACCTCGACTGTGGAGTTAACTATATTCCACATTCGTAACAAGGGACGTTGAAGAAGCTCATAACGAAGTCCAGAAGCAAGGTTATCCAAGGATTTCGTAGTGTAGACACGAGTAAAGTGCCATGTTAGTATAGTTAGCATCCCTATCAAAATTGCCAGAAGGGCCTGCAAGAGACAAAAACAAGAAATAAACCAATAATAACAAGATTAATAAAATGCCTTGTAAAATCTGACAACTTTCATGAATGCGATATAAAGGTGAGTATCAAGCTTTTACATACCATTATAGCAAGGCGGACCACAAACACACTATAATAAGATGACAAGCAATCAGAGCTAGCATACTGAAACTCCTCCTCGACATCACCTCTAAGCCGCCTTCTCAGTCTCAGAGTCGGACTTCCTTTACAAGTGCTACCAAAACATAAGAATCTACTGAATGCATTTTTCCTAGGAGATTCAACCGGTGGTGTCTTTGGTGAAGACGGTTCTGATGAGGCTTTGTTTGAATTATCCGCCATTTAAATCGAAATTCTTGTACACTCACTAAGAGAAACACTGAACTCAACTGATCAAAGGATTTAGAATTGTACTTAGAACAATTGGGTACAAGATTTTATTTCTTATCCTTGTTTTTTTCTACTTGGAAGATGACATAAGTTGTTGCTTCTGAAGTGGAGAGCTAGAAATGGTGGCTATCTTACTCATCCACAATCAGAATTCCTTCCAATATAATATGACCATTGCACCATATTGTACAGAAATTTCAGTAAAACAACAAAATTCATAACAAGATAAAATTAAATATATATAAAAAAAACTTTCATGATTGAATATTATAGATGATAAAGGTCCAAATATTAGTGGCTATAGAGCTTTGTCTTAATGAAGAGACCAAACTTTCAGATAGAGACCGGTTTTACAATTTTTTAGAACAGACTAAAAGAAGTGAAAAAGTACCCTCTCTGTCAATTATTCTTCTCCAAAGCTGGTAGTAAATCATGTACTCCGTACTATAATATGTACTAAACAGTTGGGTTATATAATGGGTCCCCTAGATTGGGATTCTCTCCAGTAATTAGATGGCCTAGTAACTAAAGAAACTAAAACGGGGTTATTTATATCTGGTAATTAGATGGTCCAGTAACTGGATAAAATCCTCTCGGATGCCCTGCCCTATCCGGAATGAATGTGCACAGTGCATATGCTTTAAAATAGCTTTAGTAAAAACAAGATTGGTAAAAACTAAAAGTGTAAAACTTTGGTAAGAAGACCAAATCACCTTTTTCTCATTTCACTAAAGAGTTAAAGACATCCCATGAAAGAACACAGAGGTAGGACAGGAGCTGATGACATCCATGTTTTTAAATAAGGAGTATAATTTAAGACTAGTGGGGCGGCTTATGGAAGTCGACAGGTCAAGGCATGTAAATGTATAGCTCCATAGGCCCTGGGTATGTCACGTAACATTATCGACGCCACGTTGATGACAAATCCAATGAACAACACATCAATAAACCATAAAACCCCACACCATGAGAAACTAGCCCGTCAAATGTATGATTAGTTTTAAGTATTGCAACTGCAGAAATTGTTTACTTGTGAAGCTTCCTAAATGGGGTTCTAATAGATCTCCACAATATTCCTATACTAAAGAGTCAAACTTATCCTTCATATAACATAGAATATATTCTACTTCTATAAATATTATCTACACAATAATACTCCATATATTCTAGTGAGCTTTAAACAGTTCATTTCATACTCCTTTAGAACCAAAGGATTTAGGCCAATTAAACTCGCTCACTCAAGTAGAGCAAAGAAAAATACAAGATTTTCTAAGAAATCCAATCATATACCATTATTGCTTTAGAAATATGACAAGTTTTTCCAGGCATTAAAATAGTGTACGCGAGTATTAATTCCGTCCAAGAGACGATGTATTATTTTATACAATCTGATTATCTGATTCTGCACTTTGTATACAGAAAAGAATTGCTATTGGGTGGTTCAGAAAGAGAGAGTAAAGGATTAAAGGTAGTGATGGGTAGTGGTGCAGAGTGCAGAAACAAGAAACAAAATGCATTTATTTAAAATACAAAACTATACAATACAAGCCAAAGTACATACAAGAATAAATGAATAATTGATAGATTACACGTAACAAAGCAAACTTTTATGTGCCTTAGATGTGAAAAATTATATTGGAATCTGAGATTTCCTACTGTATGACCAACAAATATCATCCCTAGTGCGCAGTGCGCCACTACATGAAAAAAAATGTTGCATTAGTTAATGTAACTTAATCACTTTAAAGAACAATTATTTATTTGATTGCCAGCTAGCTTAACTAGTACTCCGTAATATATTACGGAGCAGTCTAACGATAGGAGGTCAAATCTCGTCTATTATTGTCTTCACGACTCTTAATCACTAGATAACTAATGTCATTATTCAAACCAATTTATGGAAAGCCAAGCAACTGCACAGTAGATGTCCACAAATGAAGGTAGCTGGGTGCAGCTGTCTTTGCAAAATCAATCACAGTCGTCGAATTGTCTGGGAGAAATATGCATGACCAAATTTTATTGGTTTCTACCAAACAAATCCTTAAAAGTTCCCAATTGGATCTATAATACCAATCAAAATACACCATTATAAAAATTAAAGTGGTGTGATCTTATCCCATGCTTCATGTTGGTGGGTGACATTTAATACATAAGCAGAGGTGCTCTTCTATGTCCGAGCCCCATACTGCCCTGTCTCTAAAACCTAACAGAAGTCACAAAAAGTTCCCCACGTACAATAAATACGAAATACGAGAAAAGAGTACTATTTTTTGGTGTAAATTAAAGAGAGCCACAAACATAGACAAAATTCGATCCCAGGCCAAGAATATTACCTCCAAGACATAACCAACTAAGCTAGTTGACATCCACACAAGTACAACCATATATAATCAAACTTTTGATCTCTGATGCATGTAATACCACTGCAAATATGAACCACAGAAAATCTTAGTTACCTCATAATTCAGCAACATAAAACAAAACAAGTGAAATTCCTCAGTGCAGGACCTCATATACAAGAAAAATAATCAGCAAGTAAAATTTTAATTACAGGAATCACTTGCAAGCACCAATTTAATTCCTCAGCGCAGGACCTCGTATACAAGATAGATAATCAGCAAGTAAAATTTTAATTACAGCAATCACTTGCAAGCACCAATTTCAAGATGACGTTCTGTTATACAACAAATGGATCAAGCCATGAATACAAAGCTACAAGAATAAGCTAGTTTATAACAAAAACAGAGCTTCAAAACTCAAGGACTGAATTACAGATACAAGTATACAGCTCAGTTCATACATAAGTGGATAAAGGGTCTCCCAGGCAAAGCAGGAATCATTTCGAGCCCTTTTGAGATTTCATTTCACGAGCAGCTTCTTTAACAGCAGTTTTGGCTAGAGTGGTAGGTTTAAGGACACTCTTAGGATTCAAGGCTTTCCGGATCTTGAACACAGTCCAAGCAGTACCAATGGCATGCCCAGCTGCACCGAGCCCTTCATGTGTAGCATTACCAGCTTCCTCTCCATATCTGCATTGAAACACAAAAGGCATCATTCACAACTGCTTCTTCCCCATATATATTCTAACGGCCAAGAGGTGGATTTTTCTAGCTTATATAATATTCCATTGAAGTCCATAGACCAAGTACAGGTAAAAAGCTAAACCGACATTTGACCTCCCTACCTTCAGTCTTTCCCTTTAATTTTTTTAGTTGGGACCACAAAGGGGTGGGGGGGAGTGGTCTATGTATGAAGTATGATTATTCACCAACAAAAGCCAGATGAGTAAATTAAGTGAGTTCCCTTCTAGTCAGTCTCACACTTTCACTCAACTCAACCAGCTATAGTTTGCTCCTTATCTCCAGGCTCCAGCAACACACAAGAATTAGGCGATTAAGGGAAGCATTTTTAATCAGTAAGGATTGACATGTCTCCATCAGAGATGTCTAATAATATGCTACTAAGTGAATGAAACATACATGTGTTCTTTCCAACAATAAACACTATCAGGATTCAGCAATTAGCCTTCTCTACTTGGTACATGGCCACTCATATTCTCCGGTTAAAGAATGCCTAATTGCCTAGCCCCTAATAGCATGCATATTCACAAGCAAATGAGTTTTCTTGTGCATCACATTATATAGAATATGTGAATCCTCAGAGGCTCAGAAAGTATACCAAGGTCAATTCAAAGTTCAAACTAAGGAGATGAGAACATGAAAAAGGAGTCCCGAGCTAAAGAGGTTTTGAAAAACTAAAAACTGTATGAAAATTTCTCTGATTAGTCGGGGGGGGGGGGGGAAACGAAACACTTACTTGTGTGTCACTAGTCCAGTAGTCACAGTAGATGTTGTTGACATGACGTTTTTTCCAGCTACTTCAACGGCATCACAGATTCTATCTGTTAAGAAAACAAAAATTACGACTTAATAAAATACACACTACTATAAACAACCCCAAATCCATTATATTAAGCCATCCTAACACACAACAAGAATGGTAAGTTCAATGGAGAAATAGTTTGCATTGACAGCTTAAAACTTAAACAGCCCCACCCCTCACATAAACATAAAGTATATCATATGTGCCAGTACAACTGAACAATGACCTATAGGTAAATAATTCTTATACTCCAGAGGAAACAGAGAAGAAAACACACAGCAATGATTATCTCAAATTGGCATAAAACATGATTTCTTCAATTAAAATAAAATGACTACATTGATAAAAAATTATCACAAATTCACAAGAAAAAATTTCCATCAAGCACATAAGAGATGCAATATCAGCTAACAGAATAGAAATTGTGACACTTTTTTGAGCCATTGATGCTACAATGGCTTTAATAATCAATAGAAGAACCTGTACTGAAGCACACAGTGGCACACTATAACTAGGGTTTTATAAACAATTTCAAGAAGCCACTTTCTAGAGAAAAAATTTGCATAAAACACAATCATGATGTTACATTCAGTCAATAAAAAGTCTGGAGAACTATACTAGAAAATTATTGGAAAAACAAAGTAATGTCAAAGAATAAAAACAGGCAAAAACTAGACAGCCAAGGGAACTTACTGAATCCATCCAAAGAGGCCAAGACCATTTCTCCGGGCAATAGGCTGAAGAATTTCTTTCCTACTTTTGAGTTTGCAACTGAACTTGTGAAAAATCCAGATACTTTAACAACCCCAGACAGCACTCCAGTTGCCACCTGCTTGGTCATTTTTGTCATCCTCTTCACCCTATAAAACAAGCAAAGCATATTCATTGATTATGTTAGATACAAATGGTGACCAAAAGTTGAAAAATAGGTATCCGAAGTTTACATTTAATAAAACCAAAACTTAGGCATATTGAACATGAACAATAACAACTAAAGTTTGTAACTTTAGTTCTCAAATCTCAACGAACGCCGGACTTGGGTTGACTATCATAATTGCATAATTTTCTACTCTTAACTTAGGCTTTGGTTGAAAGAAAAATTCCTTTTAACAAAAACATTAGTTTTCCATATAGCCCTGCTAGGTTCATAATGGGTTGCGTATAGTGTATAGTTTTCTTGGGTTGAATATGTTTTTTTCCCAAACTTTTCTCATTTTCGGAACAAATGTCACATTTCAAACCTTATTTCTTACTTTCCTCCTCTACTCCCCTCCATCTCTCTTCTTCCTTTTGTTTTCTAATTTATCTATCAAGGGAACAAAGTAAAGTGAAGCTCGAAAGATATTTTTTTCATGAGAGGTAAAAAAGTTTATATTACTCTGTACTCATTGGTCCATAGTGCATACACAAAACATACAAAACTTCTTCAATAGCAGCATCCTTAATAAAGAGGAAATAGCCCCATCACCCTTCTACATTTTAAGCTACTTTCTTGCAATGACCATCTTATGGTTAAAAGAAATGTCAATATTGATTATTTTTTCAATACCTAATCCTGTAAAAGCACTTAATTCTAACAAAAAAGTTTCAAATGAAGACAAATCAACATGTCATCAACTACACTAAGAATCAAAGACAAAAAGCAAATAACAGCAAACTGAATTTTGATGCCAACCACAACTGTATATAAAAAAATATATAGAACTACTCTTAGAACAGTATAAACAGGTAATAGACAAAAATGTTAGGCATAACAGGTAGAAAAAAATAGCTTAAATTTGAAAGTTCAAACCTTTTGATCCTCTTCAAAGTATTCTTATCAACCTCCTTCTTCTCAGCAGGATCAAGCCTCTTCTTCATCACCTCATGCCCCCATTTCAACCGATCAACAGTGATATCTCCACACCACAAAATCCCCTTGATCACATGCCCTGACCCGGCCGCAATAAACTTAGCAGCAGACCCACTATACTCCTCCACATTGGGCGCCAATGTCGTCCAATACGCCCCACAACTCCGCTCCATTGCCGCTTTCTTACTCTCATCACACTTCATTTCCTGCGGCGAAATCTCACCAGCAACACCCACTCCCGCCAAATCTCCCCTACTCTTCTCCGACACGCTCTGCACCGTAAAATTCCCGAAGCCATCGAAAATAGCATCCAATTCCTTCAGCAAACCCTCTTGCCCCTTTGAAGCAAAACTCAATCCATAATTTAAAACATCATCTGATCTTTCTTTGGAACCCGAATCCGAATCAGAAAGAGAGAAGAAGTAATGCGAATCATCAACTTTGACAATCGCCTCCTCTTTCACTAACGGCCATTGCACCTCCTCCGAAACACAAGCGAAAACAGCAACGGTATTTACCCCTTGTCGAATGCGGCGAACCGTAAAATCGCCGATTCCAAGCTCAACACTGTACTTCTTATCAATTAGATGAACAACAGCACCAGGAACAGTGATTAGGGTTTCTTCAACAGGTTCGGGTTCAAGCTCAGGGGGAGCAGATGGAGTCCCAGGAACAGAATCAGGGTTAGGGTTAGGGTTAGGGTTAGAATTAGGGTTTCGATAATCATCGGGAAATAGATTATCGACAAGATCTGACATATGGAGAGTAGGGTAAAGAGAATTAGAAGATTGAGAATTAGGGTTAGGAGTTTGATTGTACAAAAAAGGGGAAGAAGAATTGGGGTTAGATTGATCAATATCAGGGTACAATGAAGATCGACGATTATGGAGTTCTTGAGACGCCATTGTTGTTATGATGAAGAAGAAAGTGAATGAAAAGCGGAAACGGTGAGGTATATAAAGGAAGAAGAAAGCTTAATGGGGAAGTTGCAGAGGAGAGAGAAAATACAGTTGACGTGGGGAGTCCGCGTAAGGGAGACAGTTTTTTTTTGGTTTGATTTATTGTTGGACTTGTGTAGCTCCCGCGCTCGCACCGTTAAGATTTACCCGTAAATCCATACCGAGTTGTCCGAGTTACCGACTTGTCGAGTAGAGGTGGCAATGGGATTGTTCGACTAGGGTCGGGTCGAGTCGGTAGTTCAGATATTTATTTATTTAGATTGGTTTCATTGACTTTCAGGTTACTGTTAAGTAACTTCTAGTTCGAGTTAGATTAGTTTGAATGACTTTCAGGGTTATTGTAAATTAACTCCGTACAAAGTAGCTTATCTGAATTAATTGATCAACATTATTTATTACTTTTGTAGGTTTATGTAGAATGTGATTGAATAAGTAATTTATCTAAATTGAATAAGAAATTCGGATCAAATTTTTTAAAAGAAAATGTTATACATAATCCTTAGGGCTACACATAAGTATTAAATATATACTAGAAAATTGTATAATTTAGGAAATCATAAGAATATAAATACTAATTACACTGATTTACGCGTGTTTTTGTCATGAATTCCTAATTTTATACAATTTTCAAGAGTGTATTTAATGCTTATATGTAGATCAGTTTGCGAATCATTTGACTCGGATAAAATGACAGTTCAGTTTAATTCAGATTTGGAATTGAATCTAAACTACCGAAATTTAACTTGGATTGGATCGAATAGGATTCTGAAAAAAAAAAAATTAAAAAAATCAAATCTGTTACAAAATATATTTATTGTGGATGTTCATTATGGCTTGTAACCCCTTAATATTATGCCACCCATTGTAACCTCTTTGTAACCCCCATATGTCATTACCTCCATTATAACCTCCCACATAAAAGGAATCTAATTGTCCATGAAGTTTATACTATTCTCACCATGTATATATATATATATGGCATGGTATAAAGAAATAAGAAGACAATAAGAAATTACTATCTACAACCCTCTCTAATATTCTTCCTTTCCTTTATTTTCATAATACGTTATCATCACCATTGCTTTAGTTATCGGAAATCGAAGTAAACATTAATCAAACAATATAACAAGGAGGATCATATTGCTAGCTGACTTGTTGCACCAATCTTAATTAATCGAGTTGACAAAATATACAATTCGTACACAATATATTTTTGTCCGGTTGAGGTAAGTGTAATTACCTCCACTTTGTTTTGATTAAAATCATATAAAAAAAAAAAAAAAAAATTGGTCCTTTTGTTTGTTAGTGTCGAACTGCCGAATTAAAACATCTTTGTTTGTTACTTGTTTGCTAATTGCTATCACGTGATATTGAAATTTACTAGCCATGTATTGATGTTGCAATTCTATTTACTATATTATATTTATGATTTGTTGTTTTATTATCTTAGTCCATATATATGCAGTTGTAATCATGTCGCATATTCGTATGATTCTATAAGCTACCTCTATTATTATCCGTGATGAGTGAACTGCTATTCGTCGTTTGCAAATTACAGGATGACGCTCTCATTTTTATGTGTATTGACTATTTTGCCTTTGATTGTTTTAATTCCATATAAGGCTCCACCATGACTCACTTTAGCTAGTAAAAAGTTTAATATTATTCCCGACCCCCCACTTGTCTTTAAAAAATCCCGACCCACCAAAAAACCCGAGACCACCATTGTACGGTAATTCCGACCAATTTTTAAAAAATCCCGAGTGTGGTAGTTGGGGCCCACTATTCACGATGAGCGACGACAACTTTAATACGCCGGAGCAGTCGTCGGAAGAATCTGTAAGTCGTAGTTTTTAATTTATTTTTTTTTTTTTTGGATTTCCGCCCATTTTTTCCGGATCCCAGGGGGGAGATCCGCCTTAAAAATCCGGAAGATCCTCCAAGGATCCGGAAATTCTAAGCGGATCCCCACATACGCCTGGAATTTCCGGATCCCAGAAAGATCTTCCGGATTTTTTAGGCGGATCTCCCCCTGGGATCCGGAAAAAATGGGCGGAAGTCCAAAATTTCGTTTTTTTTTTTTTTTTTTTTTGTTTTCTTTCTAAATTCATAACATTATTTTTGCTGATTTTTTTTGTGAGTATTATTATATTGTCTTAGTTATTATTATTATTAATTATGTTTATATTTCTAATGTTTTTGTTATTATTATTATTATTGTTATTGTTATTGTTATTGTTATTGTTATTGTTATTGTTATTGTTATTGTTTGTTGTTGTTGTTGTTAGTACGATGATTATTATTATTATTATTATTATTATTATTGTTGTTGTTGTTGTTGTTGTTAGTACGATTATTATTATTATTATTGTTATTGTTATTGTTATTGTTATTGTTATTGTTATTGTTATTGTTATTGTTATTGTTATTGTTATTGTTATTGTTATTGTTATTGTTGTTGTTGTTGTTAGTACGATTATTATTATTATTATTATTGTTATTGTTATTGTTATTGTTATTGTTGTTGTTGTTGTTAGTATGATTATTATCATCATCATTATTATTATTATTATTATTATTATTATTATTATCGAATTTTTTATTTTTATTTTTATTATTATCATTTTTGTTATTATTCTTATTATTGGTATTATTATTATTATTATTAATATTGTTACTGTTGTTGTTAGCATGATTATTGTTATTGTAATTACTATCACTATTGTTGTTACTATTATTTATATTATTATTTTTATTATTATTATTATTAAGGTTGTTATTATTAGTATTATAGTTTTTGTTATTAATAAAAATATTAGTATTATTATTAAATTTATAATACTAATATTTGCCTCATTTGTTTGGTTTATTGTTAAAGGATTCGGAGGATGAAGAAGGCGGTGACGGGGTGGATTATAGTGCAAATTTCGTGACAGACAAGGTTTTTCGAACGTTTGATGAAGCAGTTAGTTGGGCGGATGCTGTTGCAATAAATCTGGGATTTATTTTGGTGAAATCGTCTTTCAACAGACAGAGGGATGGTCGACCATATCGATATTTAAGATGTGATCGGGGACGCAGGAGTAAGCCGAGAGATCTTGAGAACGCAATAAGGAAGGACACGAAAACCAAAGCCAATGGTTGTCCTTTCTACATCAAGATATCTTACAATTTTGTTGACGACTGTTGGTTTATCACGGCGAAAAATGATGTAACTGGGACCCACAACCATCCAATGATTGCGTATCCAGAGGGGCATCGTAAAATAAGCGGGTTAAGCCCGGAAGCGAAGCAGGTTGTGCGTAGCATGACCAAGTCTAAGGTAGCACCGCGTAACATCATGGCGACTATTGCCGAGCAATTTCCTCAGGATCATCCAAACATCAGACACATCTACAACTGCCGAAATGACTTCAGAACCGAGATGTCAGATGGTAGAGGAGTTGTTCAGCAGTTTCTACATTTGGCTAGACAGAGTCGGTATGTGTACTGGGTATTGTCTGATGATAATGGCGTTTTACAGCACGCCTTCATGGCGCATCCAGTCATGATAGACATCCTACGGACGTACCCGTGTGTGATCGGTATGGATTCCACATACAAGACCAACCGATACGGAATGCCGTTCTTTGAGATAGTTGGTGTGACACCGACAAATCAAAATTTCCTCGTCGGTTACGTCTTCATGAGCAACGAGTGCACGACCAACTATCGATGGGTTTTGCAGAGATTGAGAGACTTGATCGGGTTTGATAAGGAACCGTCGGTTTTCTTGACTGATCGTGAGCTGGGGCTAGTTGCGGCAATGAGGGAAGTGTTTCCAGGGACCTCGCACTTACTTTGTCGATGGCACATTAACAAAGATGTTGAGGCTCGTGTCACTGATATGTTCAAAAACAAAAAGGTTGGTAAGACATTTAAAAACGGGAGATGGAAACGTGTAATGGACGCTGCAACCGAGGAGGATTATGAGGCTGCTGTAGAGATGATGAAACTGAAATGGGCAAGTTATCCAAAGGTGATAGAGTATGTTGAGAGGACTTGGCTTTGTCATAAAACGAAGTTTGTGACATTTTGGACTAACCAAGTTCTTCATTTTGGCAACACAAGCACATGTAGAGTTGAGAGCCAGCATTCGGCCGTCAAGATGTGGTTTGATTCTTCGACAGGTTCGTTTTTTGGTTGTTGTATTTGATGTATGTATTTTGTTGTATTTATGTTTGTTGTGAATAATAACGTTTTTTTGGTAATGTGCAGGTTCTTTGGATACCGTATGGGCCCGAGTTCATTGTCACATTGGTAATCAGATCATCGCTATTCGTAATGATTTGGAGGCATCTAGGTCGAAGATTGGTCAGAAGTACCGACAATTGCCATTGTCACGTATTAACGGCAAGGTGTCTCAGCATTGTTTGAAGATTCTCGACAAGGAGACGAAAAGGATGAGGGATCTGAGTTATCAGGTGTATGAGCGTTGCGGATGTGCATTGCGGGTGACCCATGGTTTGCCATGTGCTTGTCAGATACATGAGTCTTTAGCTCGAGAGACGGACTTGTATAGTAGGCAAATTCACCAGTTCTGGAAGACTTTGGTTATCGGCAATGGTAATGACGGAACAGCGTTCGGTAATGACGCGACCGAGGACGCCACACATTTTCGAAATCTGATGGACGAGGTACTTGGCAGTGACAATGCTGTTCTACGAAATGTGACACGCATCATTGAGGAAGAGCTACATCCGGATCATGATAACCTCCAAGAACCTCATATCAACCATAGGGTGCGTGGTCGACAGAGGAACAACGATACAAGACGTGATCGGTCTTATTTCGAACATGTGAATCGCCGAAACAGTCACTCTGGTCAACGACAAGGAGGTATGATTTTGGTATTGTGGGTTTAATCGTTTTTCATGAGTTCTTGTACTAATAACTGAACCCTACATATTTGCAGAAGATGAATCAGACATCACCCAAAGCCGGTATCGACACTTGATTCCCGGACCGATGTTGCCTTTCATCACAGGGTGGAAAGATGTCATTGGCGATGGTAACTACGACTTTCATTGTGTCGCCGAGTTCTTCTTTGGTGATCAAGGCCGATGGTATGACGCTCGAGAAACAATCGCTAACGAGGTCCTTGGTTATCCATCCCTGTACGAGAGGATTTACGGGCTTGGAAGGCTTCAGATAAATGTGGAGCGTATTCGATGGGACGGTGGGGCGGTTGATGCTCGCCATTGGATGGTTGCAATTCAAGATTTATTTCTCATTGCTACTTGGTTCAACGCAATGGTTATTATTCTCGGTGTAGGCACCGTACCAACGTGCTTGTACCCATGTCTCACTATCTTGCCGTTGCGGGCTCGAAGAGGAGTCACGACACCACAACGGGAGTTTGTCATCGCTACAGTTTCTGCGTCACATTTTATATTGCTTGAACTTGCACCAGATTCCCCACTTCCCCCTATTGCAGGTTGGTGGACCGAGAACCACGAACCAAGTGTTGAAGGTTGGGATCACCGTTATGTAGCTAGAAGGAACATGTGGGATGCGTTAACTAGACAATAAACTTATTGATGTAACACGCATGTATGATGATTAGTTGTAGAAATGTAATTCGTAAAGAAATTAACTTAACAAAACAAAGTTTCAACAACAAAACAAAAACAGTTGTTCAGTCCTTAAAGTACATGACGAATAAATACAAAAAAACATCAAGTTTACAACCCCATCATCGCCCTCCAGTGAGCTCATAGCGCCTCAGCCATTACTCTTGTATCCTGCGACAAGCTCGGTTACTCCTCCAGTGTCCTGTTGATGACCTCCATGGACCGACCCATCCACTGCAATTAAAAAACAACATATTAAATAAATCACACGTTTTCTAATCATAATTACACATCATAAAAACACAAGTTCTTACGTAATCCGTGTTAGTTCTCTCTGGCAGTGTGCGACTCTCATGCGATGACACAACTGGAGAACACACGAGGATGAGAAAATCGGTATAGCCACTGCATGTACCCAGGACCGACCGTAGGACCACCACCACCAAGTCTGCTCAGGGCACCTAACACCACACTGAAAGACATACCGGGAACAAACCGAGTCCACATCATAGATGTCATCTCTAACGGAAATTCAACTCGATACATCTTCAAGTTCGTCGGCCTCCTTGCCTTCTCAGGCCTGATGATGGCACCCCGATCCGACATCCCAGGCGGACGCACGCTGAACAGTAAGCTCTCTGGTCAAGGTCCCCTGCTGAGGCCTAAAACACGGGAAGTACTCGTAGATCCATGCCTGCAGAAGCGTAAGACAGTCGGCGATAGAATCAGCATCTTTTCGTGACGCTGTACCCAACTGCCGGTGCATGTATGCTAGCACAGCGGAACCCCAGGAGTAGTCACTAATCTGACCGTCCTCAACAAACAGCTCGTTGAGGAAGGAAGGATGAGTACGGTTTCCACTCTTGTCCAGAAACAAACATCCGCCAAGAACTAACCACAGGTACGCCCTGTAATGGAAACTGAAGGGCCTTTGCGCCTCCAAGGTCGACTCCACGATCCTATCAGTAAGCACCCCACTTCCCTGCCACACGGTTTTAGTACCGCACTTCTCATTCAGCTCTTCCGCAGTCATATCCAAGGTAATCGAGCACGCGTCACGTAAAACGTCCGTGCTAGGAGTAGTGGAAACCATGGAACCGTCGACACGGAGCCCTAGAATATGATACACGTCATGCAGCATGATCGTGATCTGCCCAAATGGCATGTGAAACGAGTTCGTGTCTGGCTGCCATCTCTCAACAAAAGCAGAAATCAGGGGCCAGTCAAATCGCCGGAACATGATCCCGGGTAAGTGAGATAGACCACTGCCATCAATCAGTTCCAGGTGCTCCTGCGGAAGACGAGCGCGCCAGTTACCCAAATCAGTACACAACTGTGTCCTGCTCAAACATCGCAGAACATTTCTCTCCTGCCCACCCCATAGATATGCAGCCACGTGACCCCCAACACTAGGAATGACAGTACCATCCTCAGGCCCACCTGGCATCAGCCCCCGAACCACCCACGACTCAGACGAGCTGGTGGAACCTTCACCTGGTTCACTACTACTACCATATCTCCCATGGTCACCCCTATACACAGCACAGTAATCCTGAGGGTCGTACTCTGAATCTCGACTAGCATGACTAGCTCGCTCATCGTCGTCCTCTTCGTCAGATACAGGAACTCTACCCGACGAGTACATGGGGGCGCTCATGTCTGACTGATGCTCCCCCGACCAAGTACGAGCAGACCCGTACTGCTGCTCACGGTGAAACGGTGCCTCCGAAGGTCCTGCACCACCTAACTCCCTCCTCACTGATACATTCAAACGTCTCGATCTTTCATGTCGAGCGCCCGAACCCTCAATCTGCATTAAATAAGTAGAAAATATAATTTCATTAATACTTACACACACAACTATGATATCAACCTTGAATCGTTATTATTCCAATTCCAAAATAATAGCAACAATACATAACAATTACAATAAATGAAAAAACAAATTACATAAACATAACAACATTACATAACAATAACAATAAATGAAAACAAAAAATATATAAACATAGCAACAAATAAAAAAATAAACATCACAACAATGCATAACAATAACAATAAATGAAAAATAAAGTAAATAAACATAATAATAACAACAATACATAAAACAAAATAAAAAAAATAAAAAAAAACAAAACTAAATATAAATAGCTTCATCAAACAAAAGAAAAAAAAAAGAATAAACAAACACAAACAAATTAAAAAAAAAATAACCATCACCAAACAAAAGGAAAAAAAAAAAAACAAAATATAAATAGCTTCATCAAACAAAAGAAAAAAAAAGAATAAACAAACACAAACAAATTACAAAAAAAAAAAAAAACCATCACCAAACAAAAGAAAAAAAAAATAAAAAAAAAAACAAAAAACAATCAAAGACAAAATACAAAAAAAAACAGAAAAAAAAACAGCTTCACCCAAAAAAAGAAAAAAAAAATTCAACAAAAAAAACATAAAAAAAAAAACAAAAAAAGAAAACACCTTCAGCAAACAAAAGAAAAGGAAAAAAAAGAAAAAATAAAAACAAAAAAAAAAATGGAAAACCCAGAACTTCCGCCTGAAATTTCCGGAAGTCTGGGGAACTTCTGGAAATTTCAGGCGGAAGTCTGGGTTTTTCAGAATTTTTTTTTTCCTTTTACATTACAGCAGCAAAGAACGTAATACCAACCTGTTCGCCGCCGGAAATGCCGCCCCCACGACCACCGTACGTAAGCCTAATGCCTCTCCCGTCCGCCATACCTGGATTCTTGCTTTGATTGGTTTTCGTACGTTCTTCGTTTGATTTTCAAATTTTTGGTTTTTTTTGAAAATAAATTTCTGATTTTTTTTTCCTCTGAATTTTTTTTTTTCTGAATTTTTTTTTTTTAAATTCTTGCCTTTTTTTTAGAGAGAGAAAGTTTGAGAGAGAGAGTGTCGGGGTTGAGAAATGACTTGTGAGTTTCGTAACTCGGTTTTCCAAGTATTTATATATGAGGGGCAAATTAGGAAATTCAATAAAAAAATGCGAGCGTCACCTTGTAATTTGTGAACGACGTTTAACAACACCCCATGATAATCATTAAGAAATTTGTTGATTATCCATGTTTTGTTTTCCTTTATATATATTTATGATTTCTTGTTTTGTATACGGTATAGTTTTTGTTTTGTTAATTTAATTAGTGGAGTATGTAACGATAGACCATCATTATCATAGATATATAATATACTAGGAGAATGTTAAGACTTTATAATACAATGACCGTCAGGGGCGGACCCACCTTTAGTCATAGTGGGTCAGGTGACACAGTATTTTTTTTAAAAAATAAAATATCAAAGAGACCCCTTATTATAGATAGGGGGTCTCTTTGATGCTGCTAGTGGTAACAACAAACAATATCAAAGAGACCGCTTATTAAGATAGGAGATCTCTTTGATGCTGCTATTGCTACAAAAGACTTGGTGTGTTTTTTTTTATATATTAAAGAGACCTGTTATTTATATAAGAGGTCTCTTTGATGCTGCTATTGCATTTCACAATTTTTTTGCGTTACTTTCTTTTTCATTAAAGAGACCAGTTATATTTAATAACTGGTCTTTTAAGTTATCTCACTTTTTTTTGTATAATTTTTTAATAATTTTTTTTCCCTTTTTATATCTTATATTTTTACAACCAATTTTAATATTTCCCCATAAAGCTTATCAATTAACTAAAAAATCATAAAGTTAATTCAATATAATAATTTTATTGTACCATTGGTTTATAACATGTTATTTGTAGTATTTTCGACTTGTAAAATTGAATTCTTAAGTACTGTATTTGGTTGTGATATGAATTTTTGTGTCCTATTTTTGGATTGAAATCAATTTGGTATATGTATATATACATATATATATATTTTATATATATAAGTTTTGGATTGAAATTAATTATGAACAAGACATGGAAAAAAAATTGTACTTTCACAAATGATCAATAATTGATGGTGACACACTATCTCGGAAATCTTGGATCCGCCACTGATGACCGTATTGTTATTCATAATTTGATTACCAACTGTGAGTACACTAGCATTTTCTACTATATATTATCATGATTGCTATTGATTTAATTTATTATCATGGCTTATTTTTAATGCTGCAACATTTTTCTTTTGAATCGTGCATTACTCTTGATAAGTGTTTCGTTCTCTAATTATAATTTGCTTGCTTGATTAAGTATATACAAATTATTGGGTCAGTCCAGCCTGACCAAACATTTCGTCAGTCCAGCTATTATTTGTACGGCAATACAAACTTCTCACACCCTCATTTCCACTCACAATCCAACTTCACTTTCTCTCTCCTCCCTCACCTTTAACCCACCCCTATTTTCTCTCTCCTCAACTTTCTGCTAAATTTCTCCATTTTATTTGTCCATGATTTATGCTTGAATTGAAGAGGATGGAGAGGAGAGAGAAAATAAAGATTGTTGATTATATTTGTCCATGATTTATGCTTGAATTGGCTTGATAATTGCTTGAGATTCTCGGTTTTTTCGAAAAATGCCCAAAACAATCGATTTGGGACTTTCTTGTGTGATGTATAATTGTTGAAATTGATTGTCCTATGTGATTGTATGTTGAATTGTGAGCGTTTTGATAACAAATGCATGTATTTTGGATGAGAAATGAGCATGTTATGTTATACCCATGAGCTTAGTACAGGACATTCAATGGTGGTTCCGCCATTGTTGACCTTTTAATTATTTTTATAAAATAAATTCTATTGTGTAGATTATATCATTTATAATAAGTTGGATGGTATCATCTATAAGTTGGATGATATCATGTATTGTGTCTATAATATTATCTATACGATGGATGAAATCTCCTCTATTGTTTTTTTTATATCCTCTGTTGTTTGTATGATACGAGTATCTTCTATGAGTTGGATGATATCCTCTATTATTTTGATAATATCCTTTATTGTTTTTATGATATCTTGTATAAGTTGGATGATATCCTACATTGGTTCTATGATATAGGCTAGATGATATCATCAATTGTGTATATGATATCATCAATAAACTGGATGATATCCTCTATTGGCTACATGATATCATTTATAATTGTGTTTATGATATCCTCTATTGGGTGGATGATATCCTCTATTGGCTATATGATATCATTTATAATTGTGTCTATGATATCCTTTATTGGCTAGATGATATCCTCTATTGGCTATATGATATCATTTGTAATTGTGTCTATAATATCATCTATAGGTTGGATGATATCCTCTATTGGCTATATGATATCATTTATAATTGTGTCTATGATATTATCTATAGGCTGGACGATGTCCTCTATTGGCTATATAATGATATCCTTTAACAAACTGTGGTATCCTCTACCAAAGATAAATTGTACATATCCTCTATCAAATACTACATATCCTATAACAAACAATAAATATCCTACAATAAAATTGTACGTATCCTCTATTAAATAACACATATCCTCCAACAAGTTGTACATATCCTCTATCCAATAAT